CGTTTAAGTCATTAAAGCTCTGCCAAAAAAAAAGGATTGGTGCGTCTTACTTTGATTTTCAATTCAATTACAAAGTTTGCATTTCCCTATTCAGTGGGAAATGCGCAAAAATTGTTACGGTTCCAAAACCAGGCAAGTCCGGAAATATGATAACATCATACAAAGCTATCAATCTTTTACCAGTCTTTTCCAATTTATTTGCAAAACTTTTTCCAAAAATAGTGCTTCTGATCCTGCCTGATCATCAATTCACCGGTGCGACGAACGCCTGGCCAATCTCGCGTATATCAGTGTGGCCGACGACCTGCTGGAAAGATTAAAAATCGACAGCCTTGTTAAAGAACTTCGCGACGCGGGCCTTAAAAAAGCTGTATGGACGTGAACGAGAACGATGTTTACGTAAACGCTTGGCTTCGCAATACAACAACAAAGGTTCCAAATGTAAATGCAAACAGAGGGAGAGTAAAAGAGAAAACAATTCCGTTCCGGATTATTTAATAATTTCATATATAAAACGTAAACAAGTGCAGTAAATAAAAAAAGGAAAGAAAATAATATCACATTTCTGCTTATCGCCCTTCATAACAATAGCGAAGTCTTTATGAAATTTCTGAATTTCTGAACTCCCGCATAGCGTAACGTTATCTTTCTACGTTGCCGATGAATGAGTTACTGATCGTAACAGTGTATACGATACACGTGTCGGGCTTTCTACGATGCTTTCAAAATATTCGTGCATACAATGATAATAAATAAACGGCTGGTAAAACCGAAATGAACAAAAGGAGGCAAAAATCAAAAAGTAAATAAAATTAATACCCATTAATAAGCGTAATTTCACTTTTATAACAATAAATTTGCATTAGGGAGGGAATTACTGTAATTTCGCCCACGATGCTGTTGGTTGTGTGTTAATGGACGCAATTCATTTTTTATTTTTAAGTTGAGCAGTTGGAAGTATTGCCAAAAATAAATTGTGAATAATTCTACATTTAAAGAATATAATTGTAAATAAAAGAACTTTCAAGTGTATTTCTCTTGAACAAAATATCCACAATCCAATGATACGGACTATATCTTAGAAAAGCGAACTTTATAACAATTGGCGACGGCATTGAGTAGTTAAAGTCATTACAGACAGCCTGGAAAGTAAGCTATATTATCACTCTCTACTTTTAAAACAACTTTTCAAGAGATGTTAGCATAAGGGCTTATTATTTAAATTAAAACATCGTTTTAAGACATCGCACAATTTTAAAATCTTACTTAAACGGAAAAACTTTCTATATAGAAATAAATGGCGATGAATCAGACAAGCTGGGATCCCCAATGAAGTCTGCCAATATTATATACAATTTTCACACGGATTTTTTTACGAACGTTGCCTAATTCCAACGATGTTACAATTTCTACGATACGATAATATTAGCCACTAGCACTTGTCATACTTGTCATTATTATCCAAAGATAATTGAATGCGATAAAGCAACGGCTCAAAAAATGATATATTAAAATAAATATTGAAAAATTGACAAATATTACGTTTAGCGTAAGAAGAGAAGATTGTCCTTCTCAATCCTTCTCCATTCCATCATCCAACAGTGCGAAATACTTTGGCCTCCACATCGCCACAAGGCTAACTCGGAAAAAGCAAGGTCAAAACGGCAACAACTAAATATAAAAACATAGAATAATATACTGGCTTTTAGGATTTAGATATGAACGCTTGGGATCCCGCTACGGAGGATAACCTAACGTAGGAATACAATATTAAAGTTTTATCATTCTGAAGCCTTAAAACTAATCACAAATGCTCCGTGCTTTGTAAGCAATCACATTTTACCTATCGATATTCGTCTTCCTGCTTCTTTCAATTTATATGGCAGCAGCACCCAATGCAAATTTTTGGTTTTACTTGAAAAGTACGAGGATCTAGAAGGGTGCGGTTATACTAAAGCGCTTGAACTTGAATGCGTTAGCAAAATCAGCAAAGACGGAGCTAAACTATTACTTCATACTACGGATAATGCAAATTCTCTCTTAAGAAACTATGAATGCAAAAAAAAAAATCCCAAAATATATATAAATCAAAATCCTCCATTAAAAAATTCAGTATTCCAGTTAACTGTAATGAAAACCATCGAATCAAAAATGCTTTATCAAATATACCGCTTAAGTTCGCCATCTCGCTAATATCAGTTTTCATAAAGATAGTTTGACTCGTGATGATACGATGATCAAATTAAAAAGCTACTGCGGACTTTAAATTTCTTATTTAGACGTATATTGACCGTGCCCTCCGAAGAAGTTGAAGTGTATGCTGATTTTCCGCAGGGCAGCTCTTTAAACCCCATTCTATTCAATTTGTGTACACTTAATTACATGAACTTCGAGATTGTACGATGCACAGCTTTCAGTATGTTAACAACTTTTTAATCACTGTCATGGGCGCTTTTGAGCTTTGAATATAAACTTTTTGATTATTTCAAAAAGTGCAAATTATATTATGTGCGGGCAAAGATATATAAATAAATTTACACTACAAACCAAAACAATATTTTCATTATACCCAGGCTACTGATAAGTGACTGAGATAGCGATATTTCATTTTCAAAGGCAGGCTGTCAACAAAAGCCAACTTCTTCCATGACGCTATTCATGTCCTACCCCTGGCCAAACCAGCGCCATTTATTTTGCAATAGGATCCAAAAAGAATATGAACATCTTTGCAAAAGTAATCAAAGTTAATCGAGATAATATTTTCAATTTCTGAGTAGACTCATCTCAATGACAACCTGACCTTTAAAAAACATTATGAAAGAAGGACTTGAAGGTCTGCTAATCTGAAGGCGACGTTCTTAAGATAATTACCAACAATCAATCAGTTCAAAAATGTTATTTTTTCGTAATTTTTTTTATAAAATCAACTCAACGCGTTTCTTGAATTAATATCCATGACACAATTAAACGTGTGTGAATGTTTGATGTGCTTAGCTACTCAGAAAATTTCCTATATGAGGTCTCGCACCAGTTTAAAGTATTGGAAGAATTATTCCAAATTTTTATTGAATTAGTTACAATTAGATACGCCGTAAAACATGTCATTACGCCTGGTAAACAAAAATTAGCTGACTTTTGTGCACGAGACGAATGTATTGATAATCTCAAAGGAACAATATTACAGAAATTCGAAAATTCGGTTTTAAATGCCTATATGACAAATTTATGGAAATTACGGCCAACAGAAGTGATTGCCTCTTGCACAAAGTCGATCCAAGTTTTAACTTTAAACCCCTTTCGGATGCGGTCTTTATATCCTGGGAGATCAAAGCACCTTATTTTCAGATGTTATAAATTTAACAATATTGGAATGTGTTTCAATCTGTTCACATTATATGATAACTTTTATGATGTTTTCAATGCACACGATGACGTTTATTTTGGAGAACCATCTTACTTCATTAGAAAAACAAGGCCCATTTTTTTAACTAGCTTTATATTTTCATATGTTTTGCTCTTGAGTTGTACAATTACATCAGCACAAAATTACATTTTAATTTTGTCGTTTATGTATTTTAAAATGATCCTCTGTCAGCCAAAGTTTGCAATGTTAGCATTACATCGCTTTTATATGCGGTATAAGACACGAAGGCCTTAGCCTGTAATAAAGTAATTCAACTAAAAAAAATTTCCCATGAATTTGTAATTGGGTGAAGACGTGAAGCACGTTCGTGCTGTTTTGTGATTAGTTGTGGACGTGAGTGTTTTTTCGATATTGACTGAGTTTATTCTGTATTGTGGGCGTGAATTGCCCACTTTTTTTAACTTGGGGTTCTTAGTTCACCAATCTTGTGTCACATTTCGTTGTTTATCTTAATTTTTGCAACTGTGGCAATTATATAAATATTGTCAGTCAAATTAATACATATTTATATCTATACTTATATACACAATACTGGCCGTTCTGCAGCTAAGGATATCGCTCGAATGTGTTTAATGAGCCGCAACGATTTTCTCATTGAGTTCGTAAAGTTCGGAAAACGATTTGCGTAATTGGGATAAGCTTTTGGGCCGAATAAGCTATCTCCATCTAAAGGCCATTCCTTTCACTTATTGTCTTTTTTGTTTATTGTTGAAATTCTCATAGTGACAAAAATTCAAGGCGCTTAAAATATGCTTACACAGTCATTTTTTTAGAGGCAAGTGTGACTTGTGTGTTTGAAGATTACAATAATCTCGACAATGCAGCAAAATTTGAATTACATTATTGTTATCTGCAGGCACGCATAATCACCTAAAGAACACGCCACGCCTGCAGAACCACTCTGATTCTCAAATTTCAAATGATTTTGATATAAATTGAAGTCAAATGAATTAATATCAATGGGTGCACACAACTCGTCATAACGTTTTTACTAAATTAAAATATTGGTCGACCATAGCTCCCAGCAGGAGATGTATACAAAGAAACGACATTGAAATTCGCAAATTCCTGTTTAAATGTCATGCAGAGTTGCTCTCCAGTAAAACAATTGTATTACAAACTAATTACATGAAAGTCAAAATTGGTTATTCCTCCTTTGTAGGGATAATATTCGAACAATTTGAGGACTTTTTATCAAAACAAGCAATGTAGTTACATCGAGGATTATAATCGATTTTAGCTAACCTTAGCACAGTAACGTAACAATTGAAAATTTCTTACAAACTGTTATGAGATTTGAAAAGAAATGTTTTACATATATGAAGAGTTTGGCAGTAGAAATATCCCTGTTTTTGGCTGAGCGGTGAAAATATTCCACTTAAAAAAGTCGTAATTATTACAAAGAACACTTAAATATGTATATATATATATTTACATATATGCTCATCATCCCAGTGGCGAGGTCATTATAATTTCGGTTAAGCCGAATTAAAACATTGTGTATACATATATAATTTTTTATTTATCTTTTTTTTTTTTTTTTTTTTGGTTTATGTATTTATATATATATATATACCGCTATTGCTTTTACAAACAAAGCAAAACAACTGTGTCTCCTTTCTCCATCTTTTTTTTTTATAAGATTCCTATCTTAATCTGTAGTAGCAAAAAATCATTAAAAAATACATACATACCATTAAAACACACTATTGCGTTTGGCACGTTGAGCTGTAGTTTGCATAGCGGCCACTACTGCATCAGCACCGCCAGTAAAGATCGGTTGATTTGTGCCACGCCTTAATACATGCCACATTGCAACCGGTTTGCGTAAAGATGATAGCATCTGGTGCCAATGTCGCAGACCTTTGCCGGTAGCACAACTACCCGCAACAACATGACCAATTGGCGTGATCGTCGCCTCGTCAATCACGCCAAATACGGTTAACCGTATATGGGCGGTTGTTAGATTATGTGGCGGTAAACTGAATATTACCGATTCATTGAAAACGGGACAGCGATCTTTACGTTTAAGCGAAGTACGTTTCTTTAAAACTTTCTTCTCATTATTCATAAGATAAACCTGCAACATAATTAAAGGAATTTCTCAGTAATATCAAAAAGGGAATGTTTTTGTCCTCCAACATCCTAAAATCAACACACCTTGACGAAAATATGGTGAGCATTGTGCAGGTTGGTACCATCTTCTTTGCTTGGGATTTGTAGTTGCAGATTACGTGCCTTAACCACAACAATGGTTAAGCGTTCTGCTGTCGGCAGATAACTAAGTGAAAACATTAATTCACCCCAACGAGCATTACATTTACGGCAATCTGTTAAGGGTATCCAAGTGGTTATAGGTCTTGGCATTTCTCCAATTTCCATTTCAGCTTCACCTTAAGGGCATATATAATACAATGTAAAATAAATTGCTTTTCAGTAGTCAATAGAAGTACCAATTAATGTATGTGCTACTCCGTTATGATAGAGATGAAACCATAGAGAATGTCTGGTTTGTTGTCTTTTTAACCAAAAATTAAATGTCTCGTTAAACGTTGGCGTTTGTGAATTTTTAACAACCTGAAAGTAAAAGAGAAACACGATATTAACTTTTAATTAGGTTTTTAGCTTAAATTTCCTCTACCTTGGTTTGTAAGGCACCGGCCTGATCTGGAACTAAATAGATACGTACGAAGGTATCTAATGAATCAACACTGAATGGTAAAACCAAACCTTTGGCTTCTAAAACACTTAACGTTAAGTCCATACCATCTTCGGTAATAGAATTCCTGTAAATGATGCTTTTATGCATTGAAGGTTTCTCAAAAAATAGTAGTAGATAGTATTTTTAAACTTACTTGTCATAGTGGAGACTTACACATAAATAGCCCGTGATTTGTGTGTATGCGGTTTGTTCTTGTGATATATCTTGATTGCTCAGACCTGTTGACAAGTCAGAGTCTACCGAATCACACGATACTGCTCGTTCTAAATTAATACTATCCAATGAACCCATACTGCCTGAGTCCAATGAGCATTGCGAACTATTCCGTCGCCATAGACTAAAGGTTAAATCTTCTTGCTTAAGTAAACGTCCGAAGCTCCATGTTGCTGTGCCAGCGTAGCTGTTATTTGCAACGTTGGCGTTATACTGTGGTACTTTACGAAAAAGAAAATCTTCTGATATAGTTTTTTGTAACATATGGGGTCCCTTAACTTTTTTCACTACGTTGGTAAAAGGATTACCAGAATTGCTATTGACATGAGAGCTGTGAAAGGCATTCGTTATATTTTTCAGCGATATTGTGCTAACGTCTTCCATGTCGTTTGCCATTTCTGCGGTTTCCGAAAACGAGCGATTGCGAAATGGTCTCTCAATTCCTTGTTCTTCGAAAATAGCATCTTTACAGTGTAGATTGGTTTGACTTATGAAAGGGTTACCATCGACCCGTGCTATTTTTTCCACTATTGGGGAACTATTTAAGGCAGTGTTGAAGTTGCTTTTATTAATATTTTCTGTTAAAATTGTATCCAAAAATGGGTTGGTATTTGCGCGAGTCCTTAAATCCGCTTTATCACTATCAGGGCTAATGTACACTTCCTTTTTACTATCCAAATCCGATAATGCATTGAGAGCAGGTGAAGGGGATTTTCTAGCCACTGGTCTCGGTATGGCTGCATTTGGTATTAGTGAATGGATATTATGAGAATGATTTGTAGTTAGACGTGTTTTGGGTGGTGCCTCAAGGATTGGAAAAGGCGTCACTCCGCCGGCGTTACTTTTAGTCTTTAAACCGTTTAAAGACAGCATGATGGTTGTATCACTACCTGGCAATGATGCTGCTGATGCTGGCGAATGTATTTCATTTTGCTGATCAAATGAAAAAGTCACGATTTTCGTGTGGCCGTTGGTAAGCTGGGCAATGGGCGCTGGAGCTGGTCTCAATGGTTGAGGAGGTATTAAGCAATCAGTTTGCGGCAAATTCCACAGGGGTGTTGTTATATGTTTGGGAGAATTTTGCGACTGCTTAAAACTTTCTTTGTCGACGGCATCAAAACGTTTAAAGCTACCGCTGGAACTGAGCAGGAGCTCCGAGCCCGAATGAATCTGAAAATTAAGATATGCTTTGCTCTCTGTTTCTCTCTCTCTCTCTCTCTACATATATATATACATTTTATTATGCATGCAGACAAATTGTGAAACATACCATATATCCATTTGATTTAAATAACTTGTGAGCCGACAAACCGATTTTTTCTTCTTTATATGAACCTGACCAAAATGTTTCGCGACTTCCAAAATAATGATACAACAACATTATAATGATAACAAGAATAAAAGCCATTAATATTATGCTTGTTAGGGTTACAGGTGTATCGTCCATTTTGATTATAGTCAATCCCTGTCCTAATGATAAAATCCATGTGTAACATGTCGATTGCAATTATCTAGAAGATAAATATATGTTTGCATTTAGTGATAAAATTGATAGAAATGTTTTCTAAGAGTAAAAGTAAAGGGCCTCCCCAGTTATGCAGTGGACGGCTCCCATGCATGTATATATCAAACAGATTATTTCTTACTATAACTGAAACGAATTTATTATAAAAAATCTTGCAATATTTAGCTAATGCTGCTGTCAACCAGCTCATAATAAGTCGTTCAATCGGTTGGACGGCTTAGCATGTATCGAGGGCACGACTAAAACTCTCCCAATTAAAATTCAGGTAAACACAATATAAAACGCATCGTTTCATTAGTGAATGTTGACAGTTTGTCTAATTTTTTTGTCTTGTGGATATTGATCGAACATTAATATATATATGTATATATATATATATATATATATATATATATATATATATTAAATATATATATATATGTAAATATGTGTATATATACATGTGAAATTGTGCTCTCTTGCAAAGAGTGGTCGTGTTAATTGGCCGATGTTAGTATAGATATTAGAGGTCTTCTCGCTAAACATTAATTTCAGTCAGTTCTTTCTACAGCTGCTTATTAATTAGTACTTCATGTATGGCTGCAAGATAGTTTATTATGTTCTCTTTCGTAGTTTGTTGCGTAAGCGATTCGATTTTTTCACAAAGAATTTAATTGTTCATGTATTAAGACGATTATGGAGTTTCTAAATCGAGTTCTGATGTCCAATAAAATTGGTAAAGGAGGCGCAACAAACCATAATGCGCTCTTCACGTTTACACTTCTTTATTTTATTTAGGCGGTGATCTCATGAAACATTTTAATTACTTCTTCGTTATTGCAGTCAACCTGAACTGAGTTAATACCATTCAAGTTTCTGTTTTTTCTGCTTTATTATTTTTCTGTTTTTTATTTCAAACAATTGAGAATCTGATGCGGACTATTTATGTTTACTGAAACTCTAACGCCTTGTTCTGAATGTGGCTAAAAGACTGGTGATATTGCTGGCCTCTTTGACGATGTTTTTTTGACCTGTGTGGATCGATGCCACATTGCAACTTTGTGGTGAAAGTTTTAATGACAATAAACATAAATAAGTAGAGAAATAGTATAGTGAACTGATTATCATACGGCTGCCTAAATGCTACTTTTAACGCACAAACAATCCTAAGATGATTACTTACATATAATTTAATTTAATTATAGTATCGCATAGCGTCCTTGTGGAGCCCAACAAAGTTTTGTTCACAGGAAATATGTCTATAATGGCCATATTTCAATGGTAGTCTTCTAAATATTTTGCGTTTCACGACTTTTTAACATTTACATATGTATATAATAAAATGATATTCTATGCTCAAGAGACTTCATTCAGTGTGGTCTATATCATCATTAATTGGTATCTTACATACATTTACTAATAAAAACAGTTCATTGTCTACTATAGATTTAAAGTTATAGCTTAACAATACGATTAATGTGTTGATTCCATCGCATATCTTATTACCAAAGGAAAATAAACAAGTAACGTAATTATGTTTGGTTGTGACCGAATCTATTATCCCCATCGCCGATATCCAAAAAAAAAAACAAACCAAAGTAAAAGGATTTCATTTTCAGGCTCCACAATATGGAGGGAGCGAGACTGATTATTTATAGACGTTACCGAAAAATGAAGGGTGTATTCATTTTGTCAAAACTTTCGCAACGCCTAGAAGTAAGCTTCAGGGACCTCAGAATGTATATATATTTTTGATCGGAATTATATTCTGAATCGATTTAAGCATGTCCCTATGTCCGTCTGTTCGTGTTTGTAATGTCGACTTTACTATTTTCGCGACATGTGATCAAATGTGATCATACACATATGATGTTTACCTATGCATCCATATATATCTATAAACATATATACCATAAATGATAACCTATTTGCTTATTTGTAACTTTGGAAGGACTTGTCCGTAGGATTACTAATAAAAGAAGGATTGTGACTTTTATCATTAACTTCATCTGAGGGATATTCAAACGGACGGTAAATTGAAAATATCTGCAAGTAAAAATGATTTATTCAGGTCACATTACAAAAACACTTGAAAACTATCAGTCCTTAAAAATAAAATTTAACAAAACACTAAATACCCACATATGTAGTTCGTCAATGAATGCGCCTTCATTTCCTTTCTTTATTTTCTTCTATTTTTATACACATCATAGAAGGATAAGGGGTATATTCATTTTTTCACAACGTTTACAACGCCCAGAAATAAGCTTCACGCGCAGCGCAGCGTGTATTTATAATTGATCAGCATCACATTCTGATTTGATGTAAAAATTGTGTCCGGTTGTCCGTCTGTGTAATGTCGGTTGTAAATATTCTTCTGGCCACAAAAGTGACAAAAACATTGGAAGTTCTTGCGCGCAGGTTAGCATTGAAAGGGGACCAAATCATTCGAAGAATATACCCGCAATAAATGTACACAAATTTGTACATTATGGGTGATGCTATAGTACCTGTACAAAAATGGCAAAAATTGGCGCGCCTACCCTATATTATAGTTTTTGGCCAGTTACAAATTTGGAATGCACCTAGGCATGTCCCTCTGTTCGTCTATCCATCTGCCCGCCTGCTCACTTGTGTAGTATCTGTTTCAGTTGGTTTAGTAAAATTAATGCGGACAAAAAAAAAACAAGAACGTTCTAATAAGTTAATGTTAATAAAGTGGATGTAATGTCTGTCCTGCAGTGACGACGATCTTCGAACATTGCCTCAAAGAATATAGATTCTGCCAGGTTAAGTTATTCACAATTTCCAATGTTTATCACATAAATCTACAGAAACTGAGAGACGAAAGGACTGATAGGCCTAGATAGACTCAGCATTTGGCACTGATGAAGAATATACTTTGTAAAGTCGCTGAAACTTCTTTTTATGTGTTGTAGAGGTTTTAACAAAACAGTTAAACTTTAATATTTTATAATTTTTATTGCATTTAGTCCACATTTTCTACTGGTATTGTCAGAGCATCCATGGAATATGTGTGTAAATTAAATTTGAAGGTGAAGTGGAGAGTGAAGCAACCCTTTTAATTAATAAAATGCCTGTAGGCTACGACAAGCTATGTGTTAGGGCAAGAAGGGCTCTATCTAAAAAGCTTGAGTAACTTTGATTTACAATTCAATTTTGGAACTGAACTATTACTTAGATTATGCGTTGCGGAAATGCGTTGAAATAATAAATAAATGCTGCCTAAGCCTGATAAACCAATGAATAATGTCAAGGTTTACAGGCAAATAAGTCATCTATCCTTGAAAACGCCTGCAGCAGCTAATAGTAAATAATAATAATGTACGGCTTGAGGATTAATTTGCTTTTCGTCATAAGCATGCTACACCGGAACAATGCCATCGAATCGTTAAAGAAATAGGAAATGCATTAGAAAATATAAAATACTGCTCAGCACTGCTCCTAGACGAGAAGCAAGCTTTTGATATGATATGATGGAGCAGCATTACCATAAGTTTCTCAAAGTATTTGATGGGCCTCGACAGCAGGCTTCTTAAGATCAAACAACAAAAGTAATGAAATTTCGAGCGTTTCATGATCAGCGTTTGCATATACTGAATAAATCAATAATACTAAGTGAAAAACTGTTCTATTATATAGAGAAGGGTCAACCTTGTTGAATTTAACTGTTATCTACATTGATACTTCCTATTACTTTATGATTTTCACCAACAGATATCGCTGTCCAAAATACGTGTACGCACCTACTGATGAACAAACATATCCATGAAAATTTATTCATTCACACAATAGAAGAGGAAATTATCAACTTCAGCTCTTGATATCTTGATCGACTTGACCGTCGTGCATATTTGCTACCAATAGGTTTACTAGACGATAGTGAATAATCAACTAAACTGGCAACATACATTTCAGACCTGTCGTTTAGAAAATAAATGTAAACTTGTACATGTTGTTAAATCATCGTAAAGGTTAAAATAAGATTTGGATGTATATAAAAATACGTATGCAAGTTGTAAAGTTTTATTCTTAACGAAGATTAAAAGTAATATGAATTTAAGGTTAGATTCCATAAAGCATTTGAGAAAAAATTCAACGCAACACATCGGATTTTTTGAAGTAGCATTACATATTCGCACGCATTTTGTGCGTGCTGTATTGAGGGTACGTTTGATAAGTACCGTCTTATGCGAGGGATGCCTTTACATATTTAAAAAAAGGAAAATTAATCTCATAAGAATATATTGTATATGTTATATATAAAAAATAAAAAAAATAAAAATATTTACTTATAATCTCAGTAATGCTATATATATGATCCGTTTAGGGTGCAAGCAATCCAAGTTCATTTTTCAAAACAATCTATATTTTGAATCCTCAAATCTATTTGCGGAATACTTCCGACAGAACTTTTCAACTGCCAATTTTGATTTATCGGAAAATTATCCATATTCGATTTCTAATTCGGTTTCAATTCCTAACTTTGTTATATCGGAAAATGACGTTTTTGAAGGATTGAACTCTCTGAAATATAATTGTTCGCCTGGACCCGATGGCATCCCCTCATGTGTACTTATATCTTGTGCTGGCGAGCTTTGTGATGTTATCTCAAAGATTTTTAATAAGTCTTTGAATTTAGGTGTTTTCCCTTTGTGTTGGAAGACTTCTTTCCTTATTCCTATTCACAAAAGTGGTAGTAGGCAACTTGTAGAGAACTACAGAGGCATCGCCAAGTTGAGTGTCTTACCTAAACTGTTCGAGCGAATTGTGGCTCAGCATATAGCCTTTTCCATGAAATTGTATATTTCTCCTTTCCAGCATGGTTTTCGAAAGGGAAGATCTACGGTGACCAATCTGTTGGAGTTTACTTCTCATGTTTTCAAGGCTTTTTCTAGTGGTTCTCGCACTGATGTCATTTACACTGACTTTAGCAAGGCGTTTGATATGGTTAATCATAGACTTCTTAGATTTAAAATCCAGACC